TTTTTTTTTTTTTTTCATTCTTTCGAATCTCAACAGATGCCGGATGGATGGATGGAAGGAAGGGGGATGGGTGGTTGATCGTGTACGGTCGTTTGTCTGGTGAATTTTGTTAAACAGGTACAAACCAACTTTTTTTTTTTTTTTTTTAAAGGGAAAGTGCCACGGAGAAAGTCTCAAGGATTTTTTAATATTTTTTTTGGTTTTTGTGAGGGATTCTTTTTTAAATTAACTTTAATTTCTCGAAAAGTGTCCCCGTTTTGTACTTTTTTGGTTGTCCTTTGATATCCTTTGATTTTTTTTTTTTTTGTGTCTTTTGGGGTTGTGTAGGTAACCTTACCTAAGTACTCTTTGAGAATTAAACCGATAATTATTATTATTTTTTTTTATTAAAGAAAAAGACAAAACGTAAGAAAGAGTAGAGTATAAGTAATGACTGGCATTTTTAAAAATGAATTAAAAACGTGAGAAAACGCCCCCTTTTTCCCTTTCATTAAAAAAAAAAAAATTGAAACAAACGGGGTTGGTTGTGGTTGTTGTAGGTTCGTCTTCTTCTTTTATTATTATTATGTTAATAATTTTTTTCCGCTTGTTTGTTCGTTTGTTTGTAGTTTAAATTTTATGAAAATATTTTATATCGATCTTTTTGGGATTTCGATTGTTGCTTTTTGATAATTTTAAAACTTTTTTTTATGGGGATTTCTATGGGGATATTCTGTAGGGTAGTTTTACGGGGGAGGTAGCAGGGGGATACGAAAAAAAAGGAAATTTATTTAAATTTATGTATCTTCGTGTTCATCATCATCATCATCACCTTGGAAAAGTTTCATTTATATATATATATATATAAATTTTTTTTTATTTTTTTAATTTTATTTGATTTGGGTCAAAGTCACCAGGCAGAGATGAAAGGTGGTAGGTACGTATCATATGCGTGATGATGATGATAATGATGATGATGTTTGTTTGTTTGTTTTTTTCATCTGCATCATCCCCAAGGACTGATTATATCTTTCTGTGGAAAGTGGTTTTCTCCGTCACCTGTTTCCTTCCAAATGAAAGAGAGAAGAAAGAGAGTAAAAATAAAAAGTGATTTCAAGGATTTTTACTCAGGTATTTCACCCTCTGGTCTTTTTTTTTTTTTTTTTTTTTTTTTTTTGTTGTTGTTGTTTTCGTCGCCGTCTTCGTCATTATCATCATCATCATCATCATCATCATCATCATCGTCGTCAGGTGCTTAACGATTCATTATCTATACTATATAACACGATCGATTATATAGGGAAAGTTTTGGGGGGGACGGAACGTGTGGGGTAGGTACGGTGACGGGGCGACGTCCTGTACAAAAATTTTTTCTTTTCTTTCTTTTTTTTTTTTTTTTTTTTTTTTCGAATTCGATTTCATCGTTCGTGAGTTTCTTCAATGTTGTTTGTGAAAACACGCTCTTGGGGATTTTGTTTTTGAATTGGCGTCTTGAGATTTACCAACGGATATCCGGAGGATGAAGAAAGAGTATGTGATAAATGGTTGTTGGGGTGGTGGACGGACGTAAGATTTTTTTTTTTTTTTTTCTATGTCGTACGAGCTGTGAGTTTTTATTATTATTATTATTATTATTATTTCTTCTGTTCACGTGATTCGATGGCTCGCTTTAAAACTTTAATTGGTTCGTTTATTTTCGCTGTAGTATTTTTTTTTTTTTTCTATTAATATCCGGTTGTCCGTCAGGGTTATTTTTTGGAAAGAAACTAAAGGGAGTTGATTATATGTGGCATTCATGTTTTTCTTCTTTCTGTGTTGTAATTAAACATTGTTTTGGTCTTTCTTTTTCTTCTCTTTTCATTACGTCATTTCAAGTTGAATTAGAGCGTGAATTTTAATTGTCACCATCCTCGCGTAAGAAGTTGGAAGAAGAGAAGAACCGCAAGTAAATGGAGTCTTTCTCTGTCTCTCTCTATCTCTCTATTTTCCCTGGATTTTACACGGGATGTTAATATTTGTGAAAATAATTTCCGGTTTTTTTTGCAATCATATTTTCAATTAATTATCAGATGTACGAGTTTTAAAATGGAGCATTTAGTTCGGATTCCCTCGTTCGTTTTTTTTTTTTTCTTTCTTTCTTTCAAAGATTGATTTACAATGAGTGAAATTCGTGTCTAATTTTAGCAATTTATAATTTTTCAATTATTATAAAAGTGACCCAGACCCAGTATACTATTAGTTGAGTGAGGTAGGAACTCAATTGAGAAAGCAATTTTTTTTTTTTTTTTTTTTTTGCTTTTAATTTCTTTTTTGTTGGTCTTGAAATTCACTTTCAGTCGAGTCAGTGATGTAACTGAAAAGAAATGGAAAGTAATTAACATATAAGTTGTTGAAATTTTTTTTTTTTTTTTTTTTTTTCTCTGAATGATGTAAACCGTTTAGCAGAGATTGTGGCAAGCGGCAAATGTGAAAGTTTTCGATATTTTCAAATTTTATTTAGCATTTAGTAGGGAAAAAAGAAATTTAATGGAAAAGGTTTTTCTTTTCCCAAATCGACGAGAGACGAGACAAATGTGAGAGTTTTTTTTTTGTTTGTTACCCCGTTTGCATGAAATCTTGGTACGAATGAATTTGCTGAGGAAAATTCTATCGAAGAAAACGTTTTATTCCTCGTTATCCGACAGTGAACACAAACGTCGTCGCTTTTCCGAACCTACCCAAACTACAGCCTTCAGGGGGAAGGGCCTCCAAGCGAACCTTGCGTTCCCTAATCGCAACATAATTTGGGCGCCCGCTCGCTATCTGGGTCACTGGGACATTCCCCTCCCGGCCCTTACAACACGTTCTCCTACTCATGTTGTTAATGAATGTGGGTAAATGAAATTTTTAAAAAACCTTACTCTCACCGTGATTAAGAGACTCGCGATGTAGTCTTTTAATATTTTTTCATCATCGCATCGTAATTTAAAATGTTTGGGAACGACGTATGTAAAATTAAAGACACCTCGTTTTTTTTAAATTAAACGTTGTTTACGACGTGGAAACGTAAAAAAATTATGATTCGCGCTATGAAAAACCATTCGAAATAGGTCTTCTTACGGTCGAACCGTATTTGACTTGGTTATTTTTCAGTTTTTCCAACACGAAGCAAAAATGGAATTGTTAGAAAGTTTCGTTTCGATTTGACGTATAACGCTATCGCGCGGACTTCTAACGAGTATGATTTTTTTAAAATTGTACGTTGCTCGAGGAGTGTTAACGTGATTTGAACGTGGTTCGACTGCGTCGTCGTAGTCGAGAGTCGTCTTCTTACGATACGATTTTCCGTACGCGCGCCGTTTAAAGAAGTGTGGTTCCTATGAAATCGATTAGGGGAAAGGTTTCTTTTTAAAATTCTCTAGCATATATTATAATTTTTCTTTTTTTTTTTTTTTTTTTTTTCTCGGTCTAACATAGACCTTATTTCTAAGTAGGTCGATTTTACTTTCACTTATTATTTCATAGCATTACGATCAGTTGGATTTTTGGTGTCCGTTGTGTGTCAGCGTGAGTGGATTACCGAATAATTTTTTTTTTTTTTTTTTTATTATTTTTTATATCTTTTTCTTTCTTTCTTGTTTTTTTATTTATTTATTTATTTATGTATTTCTCGTCGTACGTTCTCCAACTTGTTTTTTTTTTTTTTATGTTTTTTTTTTTCGGTTTGAATCAACGCGCGGCGGTTATTATTATTATTAAAAAAATTTTATGTTGTTATTAACTCGTTGATAGAATCGAAATCGAAAGTTGACGGTTAAGTTTCTTGCGCCACGATCTAATTTTTTTCTCGCGGGTTTTTTTTTTCTTTGCAAAAATCGTAAGAAATTCGGGGTATTAGAAAGAAGAAAAATAATGATAATAATAAACATCGTTCGCGCGTAAATAACTTTGCTTTTTTTTTTTTAAATTCTGTCGTTATCTTTTTTTATTATAGTTTTTTAATATAGTTTTTCTTGTTAGCTTTTTTTTTTGTTTTTTTTTTACTCTGTGGTCGTCTCGCGGCTGTTGCGAATGTTTGTGTGTGTGTGTGTTTGAATGGTGTTTGTGCGTGTATGTGTGCGTGTGCGTGTGTAAGTGTGTATGTGAAGATCGTCGGCCTTGACTGGGTTTTCGCGATGTGATGTGATGACGCAGAGACAACTTCAATGTATTATTATTATTATTATTATTATTATTACTTTTTTTTTTTTTTTTTCATTCGCACTTTAGTATTGTTGCAAACGTGAACGGGACCGGGTCGTAAAATTAAAAAAAAAAAAAAAAATCGAATCAAACGTGATTTATTTTTACCATCGCGTTTACCATTCCTATTCCGGTTTTTTTTCGACAGAAGTCTTTATAAGCCGAAATACTTTATAAAAAAATTTTTTTTTTCTTCTAGTGATATTATTATTATTATTCGCATAACCAACACTGCCAATATAAATAAGTAAATAAATAAATAAATAAGTAAAAAGAAAAAAAATTTTTTTTTAACGAGGGGAAAAATCGAAAAGGATCGTATAAAAGTTTAAATATAGTTAGTAATTTAAATACAAATTTTACGTATAAAGTGCCTTGACAAATAATAATACTCGGTGGTAATACAAGTAATTGTGGAAAAGAAAAAAAATCAGTGATATTGTTTTTAGTATATATATATATTTATATATAATATATAATATATATATATATTTTATATTGAGTTGTTTATGAAAACCTAATTAAGTGTTTCGTTTGAATTTGTTTTTTCTCTCTGCTGGGATATTAAATAAATAATCGAATGAAATTCAACGGTGTTCGTTTGTTTCTCGATAATGGATTATCGACGAGTGGTCATCATCGGGTTTTAAACTCCTCATGTCTTCCTCCCCTTTTTTGGGTTTAGGATTAAAAAAGGGGAGGTTAAAAACGAACGAATAACTTAACTCCCGGAAAAAGTTTTTTTCTTTTTTTATCTCTCTCTTTTTTTTTTTTTGTGAACGTGTTTAGTTTTTGTATAGATGCTAGTCGAAATGGATCATTCATCTTTAGTGTCGCTCAACATGCCGCCGTTTAATTTGTCTCCGAACGGTGGTAATTCCGGTGCAAGTGGTGGTCCCGCTGGAGGAGGAGGCGGTGGCGGTGGACCCGGTGGAGGCGGAGGAAGCAACACGGAATCCATGCCTCCGCCTCCCATGTACAATTCGTCTCCCTATAACATGATCTCCATAGGAAATGTGAACAATAACAATAATAATAATAATAATAATAATAACAATAACAACAACAACAACAATAATAATAATACCAACAACAACAACAACAACAGCAGCAGCACAAATCATAATCAAATGATGCAGGATTATAATTCGGGGAATATTGATTCCGCGTTATGTTTTTATTCGCCCCCAGGTGGGATCGATATGGCAGCGGGATATCAATCGCCGCAAAACACTTCGCTCGTTCTTGCATCTTCGCGATCCGGAGGTGACATACCAGACACAAAGTTTGGAATCGAAGAATTGTGTCCCGTGTGCGGAGACAAAGTATCAGGATATCACTACGGTCTTCTCACTTGCGAATCGTGCAAGGGTTTTTTTAAGCGAACCGTCCAAAATAAAAAAGTATATACTTGCGTCGCCGAAAGGAGTTGTCACATAGACAAAACCCAGAGAAAAAGATGTCCTTATTGCAGATTTCAAAAATGCCTCGAAGTCGGAATGAAACTCGAAGGTAAGACACAATTTTTCTATTTTTTTCTTTCTTTTTGTTTGTTTGTTTTTGTTTTTTAAAACGTTGGCGTTTGTCGTTTTTTTTTTTTTTTTTTTTTTTTTTACACGAATTGGCATAGGAAACACATGCAGGCGGGCTGGTAATATATATAATTACCAGAGCGAATAGCAAAATTGCAAAAGATCATTTCCGTTATATTTTTTTTTTATTCGATTTCTAAACGAAAAGCTTTATAGTTATTTTTTTTCTTTTTTTCGGTTAATAATTTAAAAACTACCTGACACTGAATTCTAAAAAAAAAAAAAAAAACAAAAAAAAAACAAACGACAAACGATCAGATCAGACGTACACAACAGTGCGTATGAATGCAATGTTACGTGATTCTCGCTCTGTTGTTTACAAATGATAAAAAAAAACAAAACAAAAAGAAACAACAACAGCCGAAAAAATTTGTTTTTTTTTTTTTTGTTTGTCGTCGTCGTTTTTTTTTTAATCTGATATTTATATATTTGTATATAATTTATCGTTTCGGATGCTGCAAGAAAATACGTTTTCACCAACATACCTTCATTTTTTTATTTTTATTTTTTGTAAATTATGAAAATCCCGAGAGAGAGAGAGAGAGAGAGAGAGAGAGAGAGAGAAAAATGTGAGAGAGAGAGAGAGAACGAAAAAATCACGGACGTCGTTCTCGTTGTGCTTTTTGTTTGTGGGAATTTTTTTTTTTTTTTTTTTTTTTTTTTCTCATCTCGATGATAACCTTTACTCAAATGAATTGAACTTTTGTTTTGAGCGCGAATCCCGTCGCGAAAAACCGCGAAAAAATAAACCGACTTATAATAATAGCTCCCATTTTTTCTTTTACAAAGAAAAATTTTAAAATGAAAAATACGAAAAATGATAACGACGTGATAAAAAGGGGGAGGGGGTTTCTATCAGTTCATCTCTTAAGCACGGAGTATCGAAATTAAAAAAAAAAAGTAGTCGAAACGTGTGATTAAATGAGAAAAAAAATTAATAATGATGATGATGATGATAATAATAGTATTGGGATTAGGGACTCCAATAACAAATAAAAACGAAGAGGACGCGTACAAACGACGTTCTTAAAATAAAAAACAAGTTGTAAAATCTGGTAACAAGGTTAAGGATTGTTATTTTGGGGTTAAGGAAGGAAACAAAAAAAAAAAAAAAAAAAAAAAAATAGAGAGAGGGGACAAAAAAAAAATAGACACGCACGCACACGCACAAGCACACATTTTATTTTGGGATGAGGAGGAGGAGAGAGGGAAAAATAAAAAGGGGAGAGAAGGAGGAAAAGGACGTAAAACAAAACAAAAAAAAAAAAAAAGTTATCTTAAGTGACAAGATTTAAATTTTCTAATCTCCAGCCTCCCTCATTTTCGCACATGATAAATTTTATAGCTTTTTTTTTTTTTTCTTTCATTTACACGAAACATTTTTTTCTTTTTAAATATGTCGGCCATATTCAATTGAGCAATTTATTTTAATTTTATTTTTTTATTGTGCAGATTTTACTATTATTATTATTATTATTATTTTATAACAATCATATGACGTTAATGTATTTCATCATTTCAATAAAAAGAGAGAGAGAGAGAGAGAGGGGGGGAGAGAGAGAAAAGTTTACAATGGCATTCAAAAATTTTTTTTTTTTTTTTTTTTCGTTTCATTTCACATTTTTACAACAATTTTTTCAAGCATTTTAAATAATAATTCGTTTTTTTTTGGGGGAGAGGGAGGAGAGGGGAGGTTAGCAGACCTAACACTCTAACACTTTTCAAGTAAACGATGTCAAAAAGTTAAAAAGTAGCATGGCAAAGTTACACGTTTCTAAAATAACCCAAATATATAAAGATCAATCAAATTAATATGAATATCCGACCGAAAAAAATTAGGGGGAGGGGAAGGGCGTCGCATTTTTTTTTCTCGTTTGAAAATGTTTATTACATTCACCGAATATCAGATCCGTTCGGACAACTTCACAATAAATTTCGTAAAAAAAACTAAATATCCACCTCACCTCGTCTCGTTCGTAGTCGATTGTGCAAGTCGAAATAAGATGAAGAAAAGTCAGTCCGCGTTTCGAATAATCCGTGAAAATTTTTAAAAAAAAATTCGTTAACTTTTTCCCTCACTTGATTATAATTAATGATGGAGTAAAGTTTACGATTTATTAAAATAATAATAATAATACGAGAAAACGTATAAACCTCGAATTCGGTAATAAATGAACAAATGTAAAATATTTGTAATAGGAAGTGCGTTATTTTAGAGACAAAAGTGAAATTGAAACAAAAAAAAAAATTTCCCTGCTCTCTCGTTAAAATCGGGGATTCCCGTAGAAAACGTGTACATATATATATTATATAAAAAGTAAAAAAATTTGACGAACGACGACAAAATTACCTTTTCGTACGACGACGACAAACATACGAGAGGGAGAGAGAATAATTTCGTCAATGGTTTTTCGAAATCATTTTTAAATTTGCCGCGTTTTCACTTCTCCTGCCACTTTTCCCCTCTCCTTTCACCCGTATAGTAGTAGTAGTAGTAGTAGTAGAGACTTTTCCATTCTTTTTTTTTTTTCGATATATCTCGGTACCCAACATTTATTTAACCGTCTCTGTCACGTCGATTCCGCCGAACGAAGTTCAAAATCGTTACGTCATTCGTAATTCGTTAACATTATATATTATTGCTCCAAAAGTCGTGTGGCGGAGTGCAAGGAAAGAGCTGGGAGCGTTTGTTAAAAATGAAAGAGTTACAAAATCGAAATCGAATTAACAAATAGTCAAATAGACATTCTATTGAGTAAATCCGAAAAGGAATTGATAAAATTAAATAATAAATGTCAGTCAAAGTTTTTTTTAGTTTCGTTTAAATTGCCTGCCGGGACAAGAAAAAAAAAAAATTAAAAGATGGGAAAACTTTTATAAATGTTTTCATTTCGATAGTAGTAGTACGTTTTTTCTCTCTCTCTCTCTCTCTCTTCCCCCCATTTGTAACCATCTCGCGAAAGTAGTCGTAATTGTCGGTTGTTACCGTGAATTTGTCTGCAAACTTTGTTTTTTTTTTTTTTTTTTTTTTTGCTACCGCATTACGAAGCATTATATAACGTTTTTTTTTTTTTTTAAACGTTGTTTTTTTCGCATAAAAACAAAATGTGTACAAGGTTAAAATCGTGTTACCCTTAATTCCAGTTTTATTATCATTATCATCGTCGTTACGATTGCTTTTTTTTTTTTTTTTTTTTTTTTTTTTTTTGTCTTTGAATCGAATGATGGAAGCGGCGGTTATTACAAATTGGTTTTAATTCTCTAATACTGAATTACCTTTGTGTGTGTGTTGAAAAATTTGTCGGCTATTGAATTTTGCGAATTGCAAAGGAAATTAATTGTTCTTTTCTCTCTCTCTCTCTCTCTCTCTCTCTCTCTCTCTCTCTCTCTCTCTCTCTCTCTCTCTCTCTCTCTCTCTCTCTCTCTCTCTCTCTCTTTCTCTCTCTTTTTATAATGTAAATTAGGTCGTGAAACACGTGGTTTTTTTTTTTTTTTTTTTTGAGTTTCGTATTTTACCAAAAAAACTAAAAGATTTCGTTAAAGGGACACGTAGGGGGTTGTTATCACATCACACCATTCGCGAATTTATTAATAAATTTCTCTCTCTCTCTCTCTCTCTCTCTCTCTCCTTCTTATCGATTTCGGTTTAATAATAATTATTTTCTCGTTATGAACAAACAATGGCGTTGATTTTTTTTTTTTTTTCTTTTTTGTGAAGCGTTCGTTATTCTCATTCGAATTTCCCTTCGTTGATTTTTTTTTTTTTTTTTTTGTAATTAAAGTTTTAATTTTTTTTTTTTTTTTTTACTCCGCCCTTTTATTAAGTAATAATTTCGGGTGTTTGATTTTGATTTAAAAGGTTAAAGGTTATATATATATATATATATATTTCCATGGCAGAAACGTTTTATTACAATCGGGGAAAAAAATAAAAGAAAAGAAAAAAGAAAAACGATTATTTTTGTGAATCGATGTTGTTGTTGTTGTTTGTTGTTTTTCATTGTCTTGTCTTGTCTTGTTTTTTTAACTGCTTAAGTAATCGCTAGTAATAATAATAATAATAACAATAAAAGCTTTCGTTTATTATTATTTTGTCGTCTAGCAAGTCGATGAAAAATTACCAAGTTTATTTTTATTATTTTTTCACAAAAATATTATTCGCACGGTTCTCGTGCGCATGCGTGCGATAAATCGTAAATGAGTGAAAAAATAAAAAAATATAAAAAAAGCAGACGACGCGAGAAATATTTGTGTGAATGTGATTAATAGTATAGTATAAAAACATAAATGATAGATAGATAGATGGATGGATGGATCTATCGACGTGACACAGATAAAATTGTTGTTGTTGTTGCTGCGTGTGTGTGCGTCCTAAATATAACAGCCAAAAAATCAGGTCAATATCAGAATATTATATGATGAAGAAGAAGAAGAAAGAGGAGGAGGAGGAGAAGGGAGGGAATCGTGTTTTAGGCCAAGGTTTAGAAAACTTGATGATGATGATGATGATGATTATCAAGCGGTTTTCGGTGTTGGATTGAATTTTTGCCAATAGTTGCATTTTTTTTAAAAAAATTGATTTATGGTAATTTTATTCGATTTTTTCTTTCGTTTTTTTTTTTTTTTTTTTTTTTTTTTTGACGAACGGTTTTGATGCTGGTAAAATAATTTTGATTGGTTTTTGCTCGTTTGTTTGTTTTCCAGTCGGAAAATTTAAATGGCTTCGGGAGGGGGGAGGGAGAGTACTAAATGTAAAATGTCGCACTTTTAAAAAAAAAAAAGGAAAAAAAAAAATTTACGTTTAAGGTTTCACTTTGTTTGGAATGGGAAGATTCGAATTATTAACGTTTTTAAAATGACTAAAACCGAAAGTTTTGATGATGCGTAGGCGGTGGTGTTTAGCATTAAAAAAAAAAGTGATGATGATAATAATAATAAAATTTGCCCATACGGTAAACCTACATTAAAACGAACGAACGCGATTACGTAAGAGGTTTTTTTTTTTTTTTTTTTTTTTTTTAAATTTTTTATTTCTTTCGATGGGAAAATTAAAAAATTTGATGAGTCGACACGATTTAAATATTTCGA